TCGTGGATCATTAATAAGAATAGTAGAATCTATTGATTCAATACAAACTGGGATTATATCATGTATTACAAATATAAATTCTATCGAAGTTAAGGCATATTTATTATTGGCTTTATTAGCAACGGCTACGGCATGGGGGTTGTCAAAAGGAATAAGCACAGACAAGATTAGAGGCGAATCCAACTACAATGAAGAAAAAACTCATGCTTTGATAAATTGTACAGATGCACCTTCTTGTGGCTTAACAACATTTGCTATGGGTGGTCTTTCTCCAGCAGGAATCGTTAGAGCAACTACATTAGTAAAAAATGGAATTGATAATAACATAACAGTTTTGGGAAATCCGAATTATGCTATTGCTGCTCATGTTGGAAAGGATTTATTATTATCTGCAAATGAAGTAAGCATTTATAATCTAAGTGCAATTGCTGTTAATGCTTCCTGTATTGCAACTGAAAAATTTGCTGGTCCATCGATGGCATCTTATCCACTTATAAATATGACAAGTTCAGATAGCAACATCCATCTTGGTCCTACTGCAACTAATAATATTTTGGATTCTCAAGGATTATATGTCTTGTCTAATACTGGTGCTTTACCGATTATTTACGCTATTGTTTTATCTGATCAATATTCTATAAATCAAAGTTTAGTAGGATGGCTGAATAATACACAAAGAACTATAAGAAGCAATATAGTAACCCTCGTACAATGCAATTATACAGCAAGAATTGGACTAGTAGATACTACTCAAAAAAATAAATCATTACAAAGTTCAATAAAAAATTTAAAACCTATTGATCCTAGAAATACAATAGTATTAAATGTTCAAATGACCGGATTTAATTATGATGCTTTGACAGTATCTAATGGGAATTCTAATCCAGATATTGATCCTTACAAATATGATGGAAGAAATATTTCTGGACTAGAAATGGATTTTGCTAAATATATAGCTGCATCTTCTATAGTTCTCACGGATAAAATATTATTAAATAAAGACCCTCTTTATTATTTACAATATACCAATGATACATTTTTGATAAAGTCATGTAATGATATTCAAGTAACGATTATACAATATTGGCCTTTACTATATATTTGGTTATTTATGAATGTTATTTCATTATTAGTATTAATATTCTTTACTATAAAGGAGATATTTGAAAGAAATAATACTTGTTCTGGAATAACAATGAATACTTTAATATTGCAAGCATTAACAACAAAATGGGGATTGACAAGATTATTATTAAAAGGAAATTGGAATACAGATCAAAAAGATATATTTATATCAAAAATGGACTCTATTTATGAAAGATTAGAAGCTTCGAAGGATTATTTTGGATTAATTCCTTTGGATCAGAAAAATGAAATTATTTAAAATGTATGTGTTTAAATTACTAGTTTTTAATTTTTTAATAGTAAACAACTTGTTTATATTATTTTAATTAATATGCATATATTTGCTAGAGATGGAATTAGTTAGTTATGATTAGCTTTTGGTCGGTTACTGCCTCATAATCATTTGACTGCGGTCAGAATCCAGTCAAATAACTGGTTATAGTATAACTGATAAAACAAAATTATGATTTTTCAAAGAAAATAATCCAAGATTATTTTGTTTATTTGAATTATTCTAAAAATTAGTTTGTAATTGTAGATATTAAATTTAATGATATAAATTGAAATATTTTAAAATATATTTTTATCAACTTTGGATATCACCTTCATCTAACTCTATTTTAGTCTAAGACTATACGGATCTTTGCTAGAACAATGACTCTCTGAAGCTATGTTGATTTTGTAAATAATTGTTAAATTTGTCAACCATCTAGCAAATTGATTTCCCTGATTCTCATATCGTCACAATCCATTTGCAAGGCACCATCATAATTATAATTATTCAACAAATTATTATATTATTGGTTGTCATGCTTTTATTCACAATGTTACTTGCACTAACCACCCAAAGAACAAACATATTAAGATTTGTTACCCTTCTTTAAAACAGCTCTGAGACCGTTCCTGTTTATTAAAAGGTCCTCAAACTTTTAGATATTGTTTCTCAATGGGGTTTAAATGTTTTGATAAGTTTAGGTTAGGGGGACTTTGTTATTCATGTCATAATTCAATTTTTTCTGCTTTAAGCCATTTTATGACTTTTTTTATAATACGAATACGATAGTTATTACAATAAAACCTCAAATTTATTTCAATTAATGAATGAATATAAGCATAAAACGGAACAAGGTAATTTTCAAGAACCTTAATATACAAATTTTATTAATTTTTTTATTTTAATTTTAAATATTTATTAAAAAAATATTAATTACACCCACAAAAATTCTCGCACCATTACCCAAACCCATATGCCCCTAAAATTCTCATCTTCACATCTTTTCATCATATGACACCATACCCTAGCTTACCAGGTTTGTTTTGCCTACTTCTTTTTTTGTTTGTCGAAAAAATTACCCGTTTTTGCTCACATAGTTAATCTATTTTTTTTTTCACTTACACTCCCGAGGTTGTGCTGGAGGGAAAAGGATTAACAGTGCTCCTTGTATTACGAACTTAACATTCTCACAGATTTCATAATAACCGATTTCTTTGCATAAAAGCACAAGGTCTTTATTAATCAAGACTGCACGAACAATTATGTTGAGCTGTCGGTTATTTTCATAACCTCTTTTAGTAGATATTCTTGCGAATTAATGTGCGCGTCATCAGATTTCCTTGGTGGAAATGGCATAAACTTCATACACAATATCAAATTCTTGATGTATTCCATATTTTTTTATAATAGTTGGTGCATAATTAATTGCATGAAGATTTCTAGAAAGAAAATAAAAAAGCTCCATATCATTGCCCTTTATTCATAAATCAATTTTTTATATATTAGAAGCTTTTGTTAAAAAAAAAATATAAACAGAAATTGGTCGATATCTAGCCCAGGAAACAGTTTTCTGCAAAGTTTTTATCCGGTCTACATCTGTTTGTCTTATACCTTAGGACATCTTTAATTCGATAAGTTTCTGGTTATATTCTCCACAATGAAAAAGATGTCGCTGGGTAAAAGTATTCCCTTTAGTAATGTAGCACGAGCGACTGCAACGGAGATAAATATGGGTCTTAAACTAACAGATGAAAAATACAATGCGCTCAACCGAATTGGAAAATAATCCACTCTGTTCTCGTTTGAAAATCTTGCATATTGTGAGCCCTGGAAATTAACCGTAACGCAATAAAACGGCGCGTGCCCACGTGATCGTTGCACGATCGGTGTGACGATCTTCTTCCCGAAATCGAGATCCCGGTGACTAATTGAACTAAACCAACTAATTCAACTAAATAACCTTATTGGATTAAAGAAATAGCGAGATAAGTCGGGTTAGACAAAATTATAAGAAAAATGAGAATAATTGGGTAAAATAGCGTAATTATTAGATTAATGCGCGCATATGGGTCATGGACTAGGAAAACAGCCCTTTGAAGGGGGGTTTCTATTTTGAGAAAATGACGATTATAGTTTGTGTTACCTAAATTTCTGTTGTTTTTTTCCCCTGAATTTTTGTTTTATTTTTAGACATCCAATCATTTGATATAAAATTAATCA